GAGAGCGAGCTTTTCACACAACGTCCTTTGGACCACCATTTATAGTTTTACAATTTTGAGTATTTTACTTTGCCAAAAAGTATTGAAAACAGTTTTTGATTTTGGATAGTTCCGAAATGTGAAAATATTCCGCGTGGGACCATAGTGATCTTGTAGTTGTCTTCCTGCAACAAGAACAGGTTAGTCATGTCGTGTGTATGTGTGTGAAATGTTCTAAACGTCAAAACACTCGCTAATATAAAATTTTCGTAAAATTTGCGTGAAAACACAGAATAATGAATAATTTCACGTCTGACGTCAAAACACCCTCTAAAGGAAAAGTTCACATCGACATCCTCTCTAATGGACAATTGAATATCAAAACACTCTCTAGTGTAGTGATTTTCTGAAAATTTTCTAAGTCTCGGCGCCTTTTTTTCATTAAATTTTTTCCACCGCACCCTAACCTAAGTAAAGGTATAACTTGTATGTAAGAAAAAAAGAACTCGTGTATCTTTAACAATTTCGCGACGCCCCTATAAAAAGTTCGTGGCTCCCCGGGTAGCCGCGGCGCAGCCCGTCAAAACACTCACAAATAGATAATTTCCCATCTTAGAAGGTAGGGTTGTGCTTGAGGTTGGCGACCTTATCCTGTAAAAACTAACCAAACATGGCAAAGTCAACAAGAGAGACGCGAAACCCCAGCCAACCAAGATGAGGGGAGCATCTTCTAGTAGAAGTCTGACACGATATGGAGAAAGTGGAAAGGAGTCCGGATCAAGATGGACAGACAAGGGAAGAGCTGCATGCGAAGCTAAGGACATAGCGACTTGGTGTGAGTTTGTTGAGAGCATATGCTTCACTGGGGGTTATATAGGCAGAGGTAGGGAGGTCAGAGAACATGTTTTTTGTGTGCAACACCCCGACTGACACAGCTGTTGTCGTTCACGTGCTAAGCTGAAAACTCACAGGTCTTCATTAGTCAGTGATTGTGTGCAGATGTTAAAAAAATTATTTGCACAACAGAATATTTAGTGTTATCTGATCGCGACCATCCAAACTGTATATAAAGATACTGATGCTGCTAATAATCCCGTTTAGCTCAGAACAGCGACACGATCAGGTGGGTGGCAATTTGTTGACTTTATTTAAAAGTGGATCAACACCAAGTGTCGTCCCCATAGTTAGAGTTCATAGTTTTTTGTGTGTGGATGGCTGCCAGTTTCTGTTGTGGTCATGCGGTAATCAACTTGCTATCATATTTCCTGACTAAATTTACATGTGGCTTGTCCATTATATCTTCTGTGTCTTTTTATATCTTCTTTGTCAATTTATATCGTCTGCGTCCATGTATATCTTCTTTGTCCATTTATATCTTATGCGTCTATTGATATCTTCTTTGTCCGCTATATCTTATTTATATCTTAACAAAGCAGACAGATACGTACATCTGTTGCCTACTATAAACAATATAACACCATCTCTTCCACGGTGCGATGCTCGTACCAAGGTCTAAAAGTCATGAGAAAGCTCTTTGACCGTAGGAGCCAGTAGCAACAATTGAACCAGGGTACCTTGAGCCTACATGATTGATTGACTAATTGATCTTTTGATTGAGGACAAGATTAAACTCAAGTTAGCTGTAAGTCCCTTACAGGACGTGGGTAGAACCAACCCAAGCATGTATTGGATGTTTGTGATTTCAGTAGCTAATTTTATGTTTCCTAGTTTGCAATAGCTTAATGAACGGTCAGCTCTTCGTACCGATGTGGAAACAATGCAAGGCTACCTGTTGCCACTGACAGCAGCTGGGGTCGAACCTGTCACCTAAGAATTACTAACCACGTTCGCAACATCTAAGCCATAGCTTCATAGCTCAGGCATACTCCTGCCCAAGTTGTGTCTTGTACACGTGCCCATCTTTGTGCCGGCAATCCGCTCCCTCTCTTACCTGGTATCATGCCCTCCACTATCATTATTTATAATCTATTGGATATGGCTAATGTAGTTTAATTTAGGAAAACAAATCCAAAATGAAGTTTACAAGCGAATGTTTGTGTCTTTTCCGATCTTTTGAAATGTCAGTATTTTAATTTTTTTTTTCCCGTCCCTGGTCCACAGGGAGCGAGTAGACATGGCTGGTGTACAAATAGATCATAATGGTCGAGAGAGACTGACGCAGAGAAGACTGACCAGGAGATCTGACTGACGCATAACACTAGGGGTGGGGGTGGGGTGGGTGGATGGGGAGGGGGTTAGGAAGGGGGGGGGTGGGGGTAGGATGACATAAAATCAGACGGTTACTGATACCAGATGAATTAGAACTCAGCGTCTGTCCGTGAAGATGGGGACGTAGCACTTATGGGATTGTGTCAAGTGCTGTGCTGATGGCTCTTAGCTCACAATAACTTAAAACATCTAGGCAGCTTTTTTTTTTTTAAACTGTCTTAAATATATTTTGTTATGTTTATTTGGCTTAGTCCTGGTCTAAAAATAAACAAACAAACACACACACGCGTGCACACACACATACACATACACACACATATACACACAGACATATTTATATAGACTAGTGTTTGTGTGTTTCTTATACACTCTGACTAGAATGGGTTGACCTAATAATCCAAAGTCCCGCATCGGCAAGCTATCTTTGCAGAACATACCGGGGTCCGTCTGGGTGAATAAAAATACAAGAGCTGACAAACTGGCAATATGTGCGGTGTTGGTGACGGAAGAGGTTTCTACAGTTTTCCAGAGATATTCAGACGAAGCAATCAGAGACAAGGAACCGCCTGTTGGAATTTGCTAATAAACGAGAACATGTGAGCACCGCAGAAACCGGCTGCGCTGTAAAGGAAAACCAAATGTCATTTAGCTCTTACTTGGTGCCATGAGCAGGCAGACACTGAGATGGTTACCCAGCTCTCTAGTTGGACACTTTTTTTACTTGAACGTATTGAGCAGACATTTGCGACTAATTAAATTAATGCTTTGGTAATCTGAATCAGAGCAACACAGACATTGGTTGACTTGTTTACGGCATTTTCCATGCAACTGTCGTAATGAAAATATTACAAGTATACCAGAGGTACACCAGTTGCCACGGAAACCTCACTGCTACTCTTAGTGAACCTAGTCTCCTGTAAACTGGAGTCTTCGCAAAACAGGTCAGTGCACAACAAATATATTCCCCTGTAGTTGTTGTAGTCACTGCCATCGCCCTTCTTTATGTACATAGCTTTCTTGTTTGAAATCTTCTGAAACACATCCCTTGCACCAGCAAAGTGTTATTAGCTTATATAGGGTAAGAATGTCTTTCTATTCATCTGTTAAGCTGCTTCTTTATTTCAGTAATAATCTCTTAATTCAACTCTTCAGTGGTACACTTTTTTTTAATAGTTGGATGGATGGCCTTCTTTGTACCATCACGGATGCTTCTAAAATCGTTACTTTCCCTTTCATATCGTCAACGTGCGAGGTTTCAGCAAGATTCGGCCACTTTGTCAATGACTGTGTCGACTCTTCTTTGGCAAATAGAGAAGGGAATGGTGCACGTGTGGGAATTTCCCTACTCCAGTGATGTCAACTGTTGATTGATTGATTGATTCATTCATTGACTGTTTTCGCCCAATGTTTTCTAAAAGTCTTATTTCTAGAGCTGGTGGACATTTGATGGCCTTTTAGTCCTCTGATCCGTCTGCATGTAGTTTCTTTAGATAGGGGATACATGAAGTCAGGTGTCTAGCAGGATAAACCTGGTACGCTAGATAAATTGATGTAAGCGACCGGTCGACAAATCACGGAAATCAACAGAGATGTGCTTAATAGCGTTGAGGCCAATTTTCGTGAACGTTTTCAACAATATTTCAACGATAACGGACATGCCACTCCAGATGTAATATTATTTTAAAACGCATTTCCCCTTCATATGTAACTCTACCAATAAATGTTACTTATAGCGAAAGCTAACTATATTATGATTATGTCTGTTAGTTCGACGTTGGTCTACCCAAATCCCGCCCATATACACACTAGCTTACTTCTGACTGGTAGTTCCCGGGCCGCGTGTCCTTCTCACATGGCTACGGGAGTGTCCCGCAGTACCGTTGGTATCGCATGTTGTATATTTCAGCACGCCGGCGCTTTTAACACTCCCAAAACATGGACAAACTAGGTGTAACACAACCCCTATCCCTCTCTTAAGCGCTGCAACCTAAGATACAGGCATTTTTTTTCCCTATACAATTCAGGGTTCGCCTGTCCCGCCGTGTCTCAATCTTGTTAGGCCCTTGTTGAGGAGATCGGAGCCCCGGTGTGTTTGTCGGTAGTGCCATGAAAATAGTAGTAACTAATCAACAATCTGTCCTCTCAGTGATTTAGTCGGGGCATGAAGTAATCCAATTGTTTTATTGCTACTGTGTCTATCTCTGTCTTTTAACCTGTTGCTGGTGTGAAATTCGAACCAGGGGTGCCGAATAAAGAAAACATAGGTGGGGACGAAATAAATGATACGATCGGGGATGATAGGAGCCATACACGTTTTAGTGTGTAGTAATAATTACTATTTTGACTTTTTTTATTTTCAGTATGACAAAAACTATAAAATATTTCAAATTACATTGAATGAAAAAATATGTATCAGAAAAAGAGAATGTATTTACATGGGTTCTTGAAAAAAAAAAAGCGCGGACGGGCACTAAGACCTTTGCATGTTTGCTACATAGAGGAAGGTGAGGTGCCTAGCCTACACATAGAGGAAGGCGAGGGGCATAGCCCATACATAAAGAAAGTTGAGGGATCCAGCCCACACACAAAGGAAGATAAGGGGCCCAGCCAACACATAAAACATATTGGTTTTTTTTTGGGGGGGGGGGCGGGGGGGGGGACCTGAGCCATCCCATCCCAACTCAACGTTTTTTTTCCATCCTCGGCGGCGCCACTGGACTGATCGAAGAATACTAGATAAGTTAACTAACTAAAATAGTTCAGTTTGTGTGATCAGATAATCGTGCAGCTACATGATGATGGATTCTGTGAGCCGCCTTCTCGTTGTGATTCTGGTTGGGGTCTCGTATGTCGTGCAGACCATGGCTTTGAATTGTGTTTACAGTAACAGGGTGAGTCAGTTCATGCGTTACTTTAGTAAATAATTTTTAAAAACGTTTATCCTAAAGCAAATCAGCACATTGCACGCAATACTGACTGACAGTATCTGTTGGTGTAGATCTGAAATAGTACATGTGGTCATCACAATATTTCTCTACGTCCTGAAGGGAAGGAAAGACTACTAATACTGTTATCTCGCAGTTAGTTGGACCAGGCATGTCGTAACACGCAAAGAGTCGCTGAAATGGGAAACGAATAATATGAGGAAACGAGATCGTCAAAGAGAGAGAGAGAGAGAGAGAGAGAGAGAGAGAGAGAGAGAGAGAGAGAGAGAGAGAGAGAGCCTTACATTGATGCTGATGAGGCAGTGCACAGGTACTGGGCTGTTTCCTATCAATGATATCAAAACACACTGCTCTGGATAGAACTAGGTGTAGGTGCATATTGTAAGCCCGATATGATGTGCTAGCTGCAGAGTAGGGATTGATGATGATGATGATGATATTACATGTATTGTTTTGCAATTGTGCTATGATAATAGACCAGATGTAGAACTTCAAACCAAATATGATGGTCCACAAATAAAGACTGCAGAAGTTGAGGATGCATTGCATCATATGAAGAAAGGAAAAGCACCCGGGCCAGACAACATCTCACTGGAAGAAATCGAAACAACAACAAAAAACTAACTAAACTTTCAAAAAATATTTAAAGTAGTGGGTATATTCCAAATGACCTTTTAAATGACCTTTTTATTTATAAATTTATAACTCTGTCAAAGCGCTTAAAAATATGAAGACCATTGCACAATAAGTCTTGTGAGTCACATGATTAGGATTTTACTAAAAATAATCATGAGAAGAAATCAGTGATCAACAATGAGGATTTGTTGAAGAAAAATGTACAATCAACGCCACATGCATCGTCAGAAAGAACAATAGAAGTAAAGACTGAATTGTACTTATGCTGCATAGAATATACAAAATCATTTGACTGTGTGAAACATAAAGAAGTAATCACACTGTTAGAAAAATTAAACATTAATGGAAAAGATCCACGAATAAAAGAGAATATGTATTGGCAGCAAACAGCAGCTATAAGAATTAACAACAGTTTAGGTACATTTTAGAGCATAAAGAGCGGCGTACGACAAGGATGTGTACTGTCACCTGATTTGTTTTCACTATACGGTGAATATATAATGAGATCTTTAATTGATATGGACAGAAATGTGATTGGTGGGCACAATATAAATAATTTACGTTATGCTGATGACACAATCAGAAAGAACTACAGGAAATGATAGACATTGTGGTGGTAGCAAGTGGAAGAATGGGCATCAGTTTAAATCATGAGAAGGCAGAAGTAATGGTGGTATCAAAGAAATGATTATTTCTAAATGTGCAATAATAAAAGTCAATGGTGTTATTTTGGGACAAGTAGATATATTTAGGTATCTGGGCACATGGATAACATCAGATGGAAGATGCATTACTGAGATAAGAAACGGAACAGGACAGGCAAAAACTGCATTTTATCAAATGAGGAACATGTTATGCAATATATCTTTGTCATTAAGAGTTAGAAAAAATAATTCTTGCTTGCTACATACGCCCAGTTTTAACATGTGGCTGTAAGTCCTTGAAAATCGATAGGCAGGCCAAAAGATTTATTGAAGCCTCGGATATGTTGTTTTACAGAAGAATGCTTAAGATACCTTGAAAAGCCAAAAAGAGCATCCAAGAGGTTTTGAAGGAGGCAGGAGCCCAAAGACAACTTATCACAGACATTAGATTGAGATATCAGTTTTCGGTCATGTTATGAGAAGAGGGAAAATGGAATATGATGTGACCACTAGAAAGATCTGTGGAAGGAGGGATAGAGGAAGACAACGAGAAAAAATTCTTGAGAGTCTTGTTGCATGGCATGGAGGTGTGTCAGCGCACGAACTGATACATGCTGCAGGAGATCGCAGATTGTGGAGAGGCACGATCGCCCACGCCAGTCGGCAAGGCACCTGATGATGATGATTGTTTTTTCGGACTAAAAATTGCATGCGAGAAGTAAACAGGAGAAAACAATCAAGAATCTTTCAGTTGTATTGTGACGATAGCGATCTTCCCTAAAAGACCAACCCTGCCATATGTTGATACTGACAACAGCCTTCTAAATAGTCATGGAGTTCAAGTTTAATTCCCCTATTTAGCGGCGTCCGTGGCTAAGGCGTTGCGAGTCCGACTCGTAAGCCAGCATACCGCGATCGAAACCCACTGCAGGCTGCGTGGATTTTTGTCCTGGTATGGGACGTCGCAGGTCGACCCAGCCTAAAATGGGTACCAGGATGGGCTGTCCTGGGAAAGTAAAGACAGCCGGCGTTAATGCTGACCACATTACCCACAGAGTGCTGATGGTCTGTAAAAATATGGGACGCTCTGCCCATATGCCCGATGCGCCGAAAGGCGTGAAAAGGGAACTTTACTTTACTTTTTACTTATTTGGTTTAATCTGCTTATCTAACTTGTTCTTAGAGATGTTCCTGTGATCCTTCTGTGACGTTCGTGACATGTAACGATCTGGACCAAATCCCACCTTTGAATACCGGAGGCAATGTGACTGAAGTTACAAGTCTCACCTTTCAGGTAAGTCTGTAGCTTAGCAGCAAATTTTTGATAAATGATTCCCTGTAGAAAATCAAACCAAGTATAAACTCATCAATGTTGGTCACAAGCTGATACACTAAAGGTTTTACGAGAATTTTTTTTTTTTTTTAAATTGATCACCGGCTGTGAATTTCAGTGGAAGGTCCCGGTTAATCGTCCGCTTGGACTTTTGGCTTTCACCTGGACCTGATTTTTGCGTGTACAACCGTTTTTCATTTCCCTGCCTCATGGGCAGCTGTACTCCGACTTCGAAGGAAGACGTCAGGCCTATTTCTAGGTTGACTGTGGCCATTGTTTTGTGTGGGTCGAGACGTTGCCTGATTTGTGTGGTGTCCACTTTGTCTCCTCCGCAGGTATTGCCCTCGGAGTACCCCTTTGGGGCAGCCCCCTGTGGAACAGTTAGCCCTCAAGGGAAGGCAGGGGCAGATCATGGGCATTCCCCGCCATCCAAGGAGGTTTCCATGCATGCAGAGCCGGCACATGGCGCTCTGGTTCTGGGCTCACCCAAGGAATCGTCAAGGAATCCTGCACATGCCTGCTTAACCTCACAACCGTATCAGGCCTCCCGCTCGACAAGCGCTGCGCCCTCTGGAAGTCAGCGGGGAGCAGCCCGTGGGTTTTGGACTTTTGTGACCACACAGATAGGTACATTCTTTTTTCTTCGCACGTTAGATTTCTTTGACGAGCCGTTAGCCCGACAGAATTTTACATCCTGCATCAGGCATATCGTTATCAGTTTTGTCCCAACACTCGGGCGAGTGGGGTCTTTGGGTGTGGACATTCGGTCTTTTTCAGTTCAATACAAATTTTGATGGTCAGATTTTGATCCGTATGATCTAGTTTTGTCGGACAATTAGGATGGTTGCTGTTGTGGTGTACCTCAGCGCGGTGTCGACGACACTGAGGGTTAACCGAGGATGTACATGAATGGCCAGCCTATGGATTGTTGCTCTTGTGGTGTACCTCAGCGCGGTGACGATGACACTGGGGGTTAACCGAGGATGTACAAGGATGGCCAGCCTATGGATGGTTGCTGTTGTGGTGTACCTCAGCGCGGTGACGACGACACTGAGGGTTAACAGAGGATGTGCAGTGAACAATGTTCTCTTTACTCCGCAGTCTTTTAACCAAGGGATGTAATTTTGGCTGTACGTTTGGCAAACCTACTCATGTTCCTAATGAGTTTTGATAACATTTTTCACCCAAGCGTTTGGGGGCGGGCTGATGAGAGCCACAAGGACACATCACCTCTGGGGGCCGCCGAACTCCGAGATCCCCTGACAGCTCTGTTAATGCTCATTTGAGACATTATCCGTGGCGCACGACGAGGACGTGCTGTAGGGGTCCTGCGTGAGGTTCCGAACAACCAGGATAGTTAAGGACTGGCGCCCGAGGGACGTACGGAGTATCTCCTTATACACATAATGTTGGACTTAACTTTCCCTCACGCCAGTGACATAAATCACCGCGCCACTTTACGAGAAGTAACACGCTTGCGACAACCAAGTGACTGTGAATCTGCAAACATGACCAAGCCTCTATAACATCAAGTCACAAGGCCTTTAACCAAACCAGAGAACTATGCAAGAAACCAAAGAAGAACCAGAAACCAACATAGAACGTGTGTCGTCAGCCCCTACACGCTTCGATTAAATGCAGGATAATCTGTCGATCAAGTAACTAACTAAACTTCCTATTGACTGGTATTAATTACTAGAACTCTATTTTTTTTTTTTTTTTACCTCCTGCTCTGTCACCTCTTCCATTTTTTCTCTCTTCACCCTTTCATTCACATCCTCCTATTCCTATTCCTCTTCTTCTTCACTTTCTTCCCACTCCTAATCTTGAGTACCGTCCTTTTCCTATTTTTCTTCATCCGCCTATTCATCTGCCTGTTTTTCCGGCTTTTCATCCACCTGTTCTTCCGCCTATTCATCGGCCTGTTCATCCACCTCTTCTTCGGACTATTCATCCGCCTGTTCTTCGGCCCCTTCTTCCAATTCTTCTTCCGCCTCTCCTTCCAATTCTTTTCCCGCCTCTCCATCCTCCCCTTTTTCCGCCTGTTTATCCGCTTGTTTTTCTGCTAGTTCGTCTGCATGTTCCTCAGCATATTCATCCAACCGTTTTTCCGCCTCTTCTTTCGCCTCGACTTCCGCCCGTTTATTCGCCAGTTCTTCCGCCAGTTGATTGGTCTTTTTTCTGACGCCTGTTATTCTGCTGCTTTTTCCGTCTCCTTTTCCTCCTCTTCTTCCACCTGTTGATCCGCCGGTTTATCCGCCTGTTCTTGGGCCTGTTCTTCCACATGTTCGTCCACCTGTTCTTCCGCATCTTCTTCCGCCTGTTCTAATGACTCTTCTTCCGTTTGTTCATCCGCCAGTTTTTCCGCCTCTTCTTCCGCCTCTTCTTCCACCTGTTCATACAACTTTTTTTTTTTTTGCCTCTTCTTTTGCCTGTTCTTCTGACTCTTCTTTCGCTTGTTCTTCTGCCTTTTCCTTCGCTTCTTCCTGCGGCTATTCTTGCTCAAGTTCTTCGGCCTCTTATTTCGCCTGTTCTTTCGTCTGGTCTTCCTCTTTATCCACTTCTTTGTCCGCAGGTTATTTCGCTTTTTCTTCCACCTGCTCTTCCGCCTTTTGTTCCGCCTTTTGTTCCACCTGTTCTTCAGCCTCTTCTTTCGCCTCTTTTTCAGACTCTTCTTCCGTTTGTTTTTCCGCCTGTTCTTTCTCCTCTTTCTCTGCCTGTTTATCTGCCTGTTCATCAGCCTCTTCTTCCGCCTGTTCTTTCGCTTTCCCTCATGCCTCTTCTTTCGCATATTCTATCGCTTTCCTTCACGCCTCTTCTTCCGTCTGTTCTTTCGCTTTCCCTCATGCCTCTTCTTCCGCCTGTTTATACGCCTGTTCTTCCGTCTGTTCTTCAGCTTCTTTTTCTGCTTATTCTTTCGCCTGTTCTTCCGCCTGTTATTCTGCAGCTTCTTCCGCCTGTTCATCCGGCCATTTTTTCCTCCTCTTCTCCTCTCCCGCAGCTTCATCAGCTTGTTCATCCGTCTGTTCATTCACCTCTCCATCTCTTCCATCTGTTCCTCTGACTCTTCATCTGTCTGTTCTCCCACCTCTTCTTCCGTCTGTTCATTCGTCTCTTCTTCTGCTTATTCCTAAGCCCCTTCTTTCGCTTCTTTTTCCACCTCTTCTTTCACCTTTTCATCCGCCTCATCTTTTGCCTCTTCTTCCGCCTTTTTTTCTGACGCTTCTTTTGCCTTGTCTTCCGCCTTTTCTTTTACGTCTTCCTCCGACTGTTCCTCCGCCTCTTCTTTCGCATGTTCTTCCATGTGTTTTTCCTCTTTATCCACCTGTTCTTCCGCCTATTATTCCCCTTTTTTCCCACCAGTTCATCCCCCTCTGCTTCAGCCTCTTCCCTAGGGGAGCCGGACTCTTTTCAAAAATGACCTTGGCTCCCAGGTCGACCCAGCCTTGAATGGGTATCCGGGAAGTAGAGGCCGCCGGCATGATGCTGACCACATCACCCATCTTGTGCCGATTGGTATATAAAATATAGGTCTAGCCCTATATGCCCTATACGCCTAATGGCGTGGAAAAGCGCGCCTAAAGCTTTGCCGTACCACAGAACTACGAGAATTGTCGGCATGAGATTTTACTTATCTAAGCTGCGAACAAATCTCGTGGTATAGGGCTGAATCTCGGCAGTCTGCAAAAAGCTGACAGTTCAGATTAGGCTGCGAACAAATCTCATGGTATAGTGCTGAATCTCGGCAGTCTGCAAAAAGCTGACTGTTCAGATTAAGCTGCGAACAAATCTCGTGGTATAGTGCTGAATCTCGACAGTCTGCAAAAAGCTGACTGTTCAGATTAAGCTGAGAACAAATCTCGTGGTATAGTGCTGAATCTCGGCAGTCTGCAAAAAGCTGACGGTTTAGATTAAGATTCAAACAAATTTCGTGGTATAGTGCTGAATCTCGGCAGTCTGCAAAAAGCTGACAGTTCAGATTAAGCTGCGAACAAATCTCGTGGTATAGTGCTGAATCTCGGCAGTCTGCAAAAAGCTGACAGTTCAGATTAAGCTGCGAACAAATCTCGTGGTATAGTGCTGAATCTCGGCAGTCTGCAAAAAGCTGACTGTTCAGATTAAGCTGAGAACAAATCTCGTGGTATAGTGCTGAATCTCAGCAGTCTGCAAAAAGCTGACTGTTTAGATTAAGATTCAAACAAATTTCGTGGTATACTGCTGAATCTCGGCAGTCTGCAAAAAGCTGACTGTTCAGATTAAGCTGCGAACAAATCTCGTGGTATAGGGCTGAATCTCGGCAGTCTGCAAAAAGCTGACAGTTCAGATTAAGCTGCGAACAAATCTCGTGGTATAGGGCTGATCTCGGTAGTCTGCAAAAAGCTGACTGTTCAGATTAAGCTGCGAACAAATCTCGTGGTATAGGGCTGAATCTCGGTAGTCTGCAAAAAGCTGACTGTTCAGATAAAGCTTCGAACAAATCTCGTGGTATAGGGCTGAATCTCGGTAGTCTGCAAAAAGCTGACTGTTCAGAATAAGCTGCGAACAAATCTCGTTGTATAGGGCTGAATCTCGGTAGTCTGCAAAAAGCTGACTGTTCAGATTAAGCTGCGAACAAATCTCGTGGTATAGGGCTGAATCTCGGTGGTCTGCAAAAAGCTGACTGTTCAGATTAAGCTGCGAACAAATCTTGTGGTATAGGGCTGAATCTCGGTAGTCTGCAAAAAGCTGACTGTTTAGATTAAGCTGCGAACAAATCTCGTGGTATAGGGCTGAATCTCGGTAGTCTGCAAAAAGCTGACTGTTCAGAATAAGCTGCGAACAAATCTCGTGGTATTGGGCTGAATCTCGGCAGTCTGCAAAAAGCTGACTGTTCAGCTGGTTGCGACACCTGGCTGACGAACAAATAGCACTTTGCTGTTATGCCTAGTAAGCAGTTTAGTAGAACTTTCTGTCGTCTGACATCTGATCCAAGGTTTGTCATTTTGTAGAATATTCGGCAGGATGGCTTTATTCGTTCTGGACACTGCACCAATGGATGTTACCAAATCCGAGATCACATACCAGCTCTGTTTACACCAATAGGAGCAATTCGCCTTTGAGCGCGCTGGGGACGTGTGACAGAAGTCTTGCACGAGAATTCGTAAAACTAACAAAGGACATGCTGGCGCCAACAGTGGAGTACGGAATATCTCCTTTTTATACACAACACAATGGCCTTAACTTTTCCACACGCCCATGACCGAAATTACCACGCCACAATGATGTTTCAAAATATTGCCAGTTTACCTCAACCGTTTGACGCTGTAAAAGTAAAAGACATGTTTTTTCTTTACTCTCATTGTGCATCTAGTGGCGTCATTGTTTATCTGTAGTTCGTATTTATATTGTCAAAATGCGTTGCCAGTTATGCTGTTTCTTTTTTTTCAGGGTGGAAATATAACCAGTATTACAAGAAGCAGTCTACCTTTAGGTCTTACTCAAATAACAATAATTGGAAACCCACTCACTAATATTTCTGACGACGCCTTAGATGCAACTGCAGCAACACTACAATATGTGTACATTGAAGGAGCGGAATTCAGCAACCTACCGAAAGCACTCAAGAAAGTGACTAACCTGACACAACTGTCGATTGTCGATACAGCGATACAAGACTGGGATATTGCCACACTGAAAAAACTTGGTGCTACAGTTTAACATCTGCAACTCAGAAACGTGCGCTTATCCTCATGGCCGAGCTGGATCTCTGACTTTCCTCTCTTACGTACATTAGACCTAAGCTTGAACCCTCTCATCTCTGTTCCTGACAACGCTTTTATCTTTGTTAAATACACATTGACAAAACTGGTCCTGTGTTGTTCCGGCTTGACGCATGTACCAAAAGGATTGTCCACACTCTCAAATGTGACTTTCCTGAGCTTGGAAAATAACAAATTTACAGATGTGTCTGAATTTCAGTATATAACCGGATCGGCATTTGCCGAGAAACTTCTCTACCTAAATTTACAATCAGTAGGGCTGACCATAATGTTCAACATTTCAAACTTTACTAATCTAGATATTCTACTTTTAGGTAAGAATAGAATATCGGTTGTGCCTGTTGGCTCATTTCCCTTATCACTAACATTCGTCTACATTGAAAAGAACAGACTTTCTTCTGTGCCACAAGATTTTGCTTCCATGCCCAATCTTGCTACTTTAAACTTGAATTACAATACAATTTCAGAGATTGAGCCAGACTCTTTTCCGTCAAGTCTGACGTCTTTGAGACTTGACTTCAACATTATAACTACAATCACGAACACAACTTTCAAAAATCTCAATCTGCTACGCAGTCTTTATTTGAGCAACAATCCAATTGCAACAATTTCACCTGAAGCGTTCTCAGATCTGGTATCCTTACAATCCCTAGTCATGTACAATTCTAAACTGAGAGAAATCCCTCAGGCTTTGACAAGACTAAACCATGACATTAACCTGTCCATTACAACGACGGAACCGCTGTCCTGTCCTTGTCCAGCGCAACAAGAACTAGTTCAGTGGGCTGCTTCATTCAGAAACACTTACGGCTTCTTTGTAGAGAATCATTGCAATAACGGACAGACAGCTCTGGAATATCTGAAAAGCCAATTATCAGCCACTGCTTAACGTGAGCAACTTCTCTGGAAAGTTTTTCAGTTGGTCAGACCCAGGTGACATTTCTCTTTGGTACACCAAACGATTTCGGTTTCTTCTGCTTTATTCGCCGTAAAGATTCATGTCTGTGTCAGTAACCATGGAAGCAAAATTAAAATATTATGAAAAACAAACGAATAAAAATGAATTCTACAAAAAGTACACATCTTTATGAAGACTTTATGTTTATGTGGTCTTCGCCTGGAGTTTATACCATAGTGTGACCCATGTATTTTTTCGTTTATGTACTTGTCTGTAGATATACTACGTCTTTCTTTATGTGGGTTTGTCTTTATAGTGAACGAATTCGTATTGACAAATGAATCAGTTGTAGTGAAAAGAACTACATTAACAAGGACACCATATTAACTTCTCTTCGAGTCCAGATTTGAAAACACGTATTATTTTGTTTATTATGAGCAAATGAAATCATAAAAGGCTTTTGATGTCACACACAGAACATCACTATGACGAAATTAGCAGTGCTAATGTATACCACTGAAAATAATTTATTTTAATAAAGCAGTGTATGAAAGTTCACCTATCGATTTCGGTTTCTTCTGCTTTATTCGCCGTAAAGATTCATGTCTGTGTCTGTAACCATGGAAGCTAAATTAAACTATTATGAAAAACAAACGACTAAAAATGAATTCTACAAAAAGTACAAATCTTTATGAAGAGCTTATGTTTATGAAGGTTCAGAGTGTGCTATGCCCACAGCCGATGGTTTGAGTTACTGGTTTGAAATTGAAACTGCACTGAAACAGGGATGCATTTTATCTCCTCTGTTATTTGTCATCACCTTTGACTGGATGATTGAATAAGAAATGTTGTGCTAGGAAACACCGGCATTGTCTGGTTGGAGACAGTTGGAAGATTGATTTTGCTAATGATGTTATTATGCTAAATAAAAACAAAGATGACATGTAGAGACAAAGAGACGCGTTAGCAAATATAGCATCAAGGGTTGAACTACAAACAAGTTTTGAAAAGACAGATATATTGAAGCCATAAATAACAACAAATCAAGCAGATGTAATACTAGACACCAAAGGATTTAATGTAACAGATCAATTTACTTATTTAGGCAGTAATTGTGATAATAAAGGACATTTTTAAAAAAAATGTGACACGCAGTGGCAAAGCATTAGCAGCTTTGAAAAGCTTGAACAAAATATATAACTCTAAATTTATATAGTTTCAAAACCAAGCCAAGTATTTGAAATTCTGATGAGAATCTGGAATCATGCTTGAAATTAAAAACAACGACACACAAACCAGACTTATCAAAACTTATCAAAAACAAGGTCAAAGTTCACATTAAATGTGTATTTTGTATTGTTGTCAATAAGATTATTGTTATTATTCTTGGTTGATTTTTATGTTTAATACGTGTTTTGTATTTTTTGTCAAAAGATAAGATTATTGTTAATTTTTAAATATCTGGTTGTATTTAATGTTAAGTAATTATTTTAAACCGACTCTAAAAAGCATGGCTTTTGGCAGGTTCTTGAAAAGAAATTTGGCTCTCAAAACATGTTTAATTGTTTTGCTTCTGATTTCTGGCTCTTTTGACTAATGAGTTTTCGTACCACTGCCCTAGACCATCAAGATTTCTTGGCAGCAGAGTGCCTATATCATTGCATGAAACCTTTCATCAACATTGAGCTGTCCTACACAAACATAGAAAAGGAAGGGACAGAACCGGTTTTAGGCAACAGTGAACCAGAGAATGACGATGATGGGACAGGTGCTTATGGTTTTGAAAACCATAATGATGTTGCATAGTCAGTGATTTGGACAACGATAATAGTGACTGATGAGCTAACCTGGTAATTATCTGATAGAAGGGCCCGTATTGTTTGGCTGAAATGCCAAATATAATAATGAAATCACAACAGCTGGACATGTAGCCGGCTGTTTGCAGCTCCCAGTGATGCATTGTAGCTAGTTAACCCTGTTATCCCTTTGTGGGATGCAATTTTTTGTTAACTGAAGCCCTACTCTGGCGCTTGCCAGAGGCCGCAATATACCCTGAACATAAATATGGTCAAATGGCTGAGCGCGGTTTCTGGGACCTCTCCACGGGTGATCTTCATCCACATGTGTCATCGGGTGATTATCGCTTGTGTGATGACATGGTGGGGTAAAAGTAGATAGACAGATAGAGACATTGTAGCTAAAATTGTTTACACTGTCCATGTGTTATCTATGCGGTAGCACACCAGAGCCAAATTTGTAGGCTATTTTTCCTCCCCACTCCCTCTCTGTCTCTCTCTCTCTCTCTCTCTCTCTCTCTCTCTCTCTCTCTCTCTCTCTCTCTCTCTCTCTCTCTCTCTCTCTCTCTCTCTGGACTATGGACTTGCATCTACTGATCAAAATATATTTTAAATGTTGCAAAAATGTTTATATTAGTTATTGGTTGCTGTTGTTTTCATTATAATCAGTAGAAAATCCTGTTGGTCTAAATCAGTGTTACTCAGACTTCTTTGGTCTACTGCCCATTTTTCATGGAAAAAAATATTTCGCTTAAAACCCGTGTCGCTCCACGGAAATATCGTTATCTTCACCATGTGCCACGCCAAAAAGCTTATGCGGGCATCATTTTCTAATCCTTCTGGAGTCTATTCCTGGCCTTGACTTGTACCTTCTATAATCAAACAAAAAGAATGATACAATGGCAGTTTTGTTTTGTATCATCGGTTTTTTTCCCCATCGACTTACAAAATGACTGGTCTGTAAATTTGGTAGTCTTCATTCCAGTTGGAGTCACCGTGGCGTAGCGGCTAGATGCTCGCGTGCGAATCGGAAGGTCGTATGTTCGCTCCCTGGTGGAGCCTAACATTTTTTTTTTCAAAAGATGACCTTGAGTCTAAGGTCGACCGAGCGTTGAGTGGGTACCAGGTGCAATCCCGGAAAGTAAAGGCGTCTGGCTTGATGCTGACCGCATCACTCATCTTGTGCCGATTGGTCTATAAAAATAGGTCTAGCCCTATATGCCCTATACGCCTAAAGGCGTGGAAGAGGGACCTTTACTTTTTTTTTGTCTCTCCAGTACAACATCACATATATTTTTTAGGGTATCTTTGGCGTTTTGAAGCTCTGAAACAGATGCAATGTGCTCTGCTATGGGTATGTTTTGGTAAGCCTCATTGCTTTCTGACGAACAGTAAGTTTGTAACGACACAGCAGAGATGAATATTGAGTTGCGTGCTTTTTGTTTCGTTGAATCACAACATATCGTAGGCACACATTCTCCCGGCCTCGTTGAATCACAACATATCGTAGGCACACATTCTCCCGGCCTCGTGCTCGTTCTGTTTGGCTGATTCTGGCGGCCTGGTCAAACTTTTCACACACTATTTCGATCCATCAGTGTCTTTCGAATCGTTCATCCATCCTTTAACGAAACCTTGTACTCGGCGTTAAGACATTTAGGAAGCATTCCTATGTCCTCTCGAAACATAACAAGTATTCACAGTTCCTTCATTCTCCACATGCGTCCATTCATACGACCTCTCGCCACCAGGTCCGAACTTCAACTGTCTTACTCTCGTCTCTCGGTTCACGTCTTCCGTTCCAGTCTCACGCTTTTCTTATATCCCTTATTTCGCTCACCATGGGATTTACGAGACCCACTTATCTCTTTTTTCTCTTGTATCACTGGTCCTCTGAACTTGTCCTCGACATCGGGAAATCTCTGAGATTTCCCCGGGAATTCACAACATTACAACAAATAGGCTGCATAAGGTTGCATGTGGCCTTCTTAAAATATTTCTTTCCACTTCTAGGGATCCACTGTAGGCTGAATCTTACTGCTGTTCTTTGATGCTTTCCTGTTTAGAGTGTAAGGTGGCTTAAAGGACTGGTTTTTACATCTGTAAATATAACAGCTAATTATTTTGGTTTTGTTTTTGTTAAACTAGAGTATTTCAGAGTCTGTTCAGTACAAAGGAGAATTGCTGCCTCGCTCTAAATTTGGTACAAGCTTCTCATATTTAGTATGTATCTGTTTGCAACTA